CAATTAGGACTCTCTGACCGTCCAGTGGACATCCCCCTCACTCTGTCACCCAAACCGCTGGGGCCTTCAGAGTTCTGATCACTCATTTGTTCAATTTTCTGTTACCTATTCATTCATCTGTTTATTAATTACTTACATCTTTATTTTCTGAGCCCCTTGACTAAAACGTGAGGTTTGCAAGGACAAAATTTTGCCTGTTTATTCACTTCCATATTCTCAGTACTTGAATAATGCCTGACACAATGTAGTAGATGTTCCGTACACTGTTGTTGAAAGAAGAGTGTAAACACTCTGTGCCCGCTCTAGAGAAACCTGCTCGAGGTTGCCTAATTGACCTGCCCACCCAGGAGGTTCTGTCTCTACATGGCCTTCGCACACCTCTCTCCAGATGCAGCTCTCACCCATTCTTCCTGCGACAGCTCAAATGCTGTCAAGTTTCCTGTTCCCAACCCAGTATTCGGCAGCACATCCTTTCTCCTTTGAACTGCTGGAGTGAGTAAGACTGGGAACCTGGAGTTTTCACTCTTCTCTCTCAACTGACAACTAACTGGTCCCAAAAGAGATGACTTAATAAGTCTGTGCCTCAGTTTCCTCATCTAAAAATGGGAGAAAACAGAGAAACAAAATAAACCAGATACTGAAAGGATGAAACGGGATCATCTGGGTGGAACACTTGGAAGGTTCTGGAACATAGGAAATGCTAAATATTCATAATTATTCTGATTGCAGCACATTTGAGCACTTTATCAAAATGCTACCTTTTAAAATGTCAACCGTGTTTGTTTTCTGTTTTTTTTTTTTTTTTTTTTTTTTGGTCTGGTCACGCAGTGTTTAGCATAGTACCATATCATGCTTGTTCATTAAGCAATTCAAAAATACTTGTCTGATTGAACCTAATAAAGTAAAAGGAAATGAGAGATAACAAAGCAACATGACCAAATAGGTGAGTTATTATTTATTAACTCACAAATGATATTTTCCTTGAATTTATCTGGGGAAGAAAACTCCAGTGCTTAAAATTGTATACTTTTGCTAGTAAGTTCAACTTAGCTTTCTACTTATTCTCAGATAATGCCTGCTTTCGAGTGAACAGGCTTCAAACTTGTCACAATCTTAGTAATTTTTTTCTATCCCTGAGGAATATTTTATTGGCTGGAAAGCAGCTGAAATGTTGCCTTTTCTTTGACTTTACCTAAATGGTAATTCACAGATCCATTGGATTGTTGCCCAGACAATAGAAAATCAAATCAAGAAAAGCTTAAGCCAAGTGATATTCATTTTCATCTTACAGAAATGTAATTAAATACGCAGGTGAAACAGATAAATATTAGGTGAAAAAAAGCAAACTCCAGGAGTACACATTTTTTTAGCTTAACGGGGGACGTATCGTTGGCTCACCTTCTCTATTCTATAGGATTCCAACAAATTAAACCTCTCCAACTGGCGCGTTAGTAGTGTTGATGTAATGTTGCTTGTCCCTGGACAGCTGAGCTCAGCAATTCCAGTTCCATGTTTCCTTTCCAAAGGATAGCTAAAGAAACATTCTCTGGATAAGTGTCATATGTTTGCTATGTTTCAAAATATTTAGTTCACATTTTCCTCTATAGCTCTATTTATTGTTCCACGATTTCTATAGATTGGACTCGTTTGGGTCCAAGTGTAAATTTAAATTAAAAGGACAATATTCAAAGTAGCCCAGAGTAGTCCAAAGGAGGTTCATGGATCTGATTTTCAAAGAAAAGAACTCTTCCACCGTGTGCGTGCGTGTGTGTGTGTGTGTGTGTGTGTGTGTGTGTATTTTAGTCCATCATTCAGGTTTATTCAACCACTCAATCTATTCTAATCTATTCTTCTTTATTTATTTTCAATACGGAAGGTTATTTTTTTCCTTTTCCCCTTCTCTTTCTCCTCCTCCTTCTCCTTCACTCCTCACTTCAACTTGTAGAAACAATGCTTTCAATTGATACAAAGGGCAATTCTTTTACATTTTAAAAAAATGTAACCATAATATACACAAATCTATAACTTTAGTGTCTTGATAATATATCATGGACATTCTTCGAGTTTAGTGGTTAACATCTAGCTCATTATTTTTAATGTCAGTAAAATAGCCTATAGTATGAATATTTCACAATTCTTAACTATTCCTTTGATGGATAATCAGTATGCTTTCAGCTTTACTTTCCACAAACAAGATGGATATTAATATTTTTGCTCATGTCTTCACATATGGGTACCTTTGGTTCTATAGGGTAGATTCCAAAATATAAGACTATAAGAGCAATGGAACAAAGGTTTATCTATGTATCTATATAGATTAATGCATATTAATATTTTTCTATATAGAGGTGTAGATGTTGTCATAGTGTTTGCTTCATCTCTATTTAATTCCATCAGCCTAGATTTTCTAATGGAAATTTTTTCTTAACACTCAAAACCAAAATTATACCTTGCTTTACCAGAATACTTCACCTAGAAAGGGAATGTTCCCCAAATCTAGCCCTTTTTCATTGTTACCGTATTGTTTTAAAGATAATTTCCTACATGTTTTAGCAGCCCATGTTCTGATTTTTTTCTCTCACATTTATGACAGAATAGTGTGTGGGCTTTGTCCACCACAAGAATGAACATATTTGTATACTCAGTTGTATTTGGTAACATCAACAGAATAAAACATTACTTATCATATTCCTTTTTAGACCATTTACTAAGACTCATTTGTTGCTGCAATTTTACACTAAGTCAAATCAATCAACTTTTTTCTTTGCTTATTTTCAAATATGAGTGTAGATACTATGCCAGCAAGATTTTCCTTGAATTAGTGTTATAATGCACAGTATATATAATGGGTCTGTTCTTCCGAAATAAAGGTGAGAATTTTTTTTTCAACATTTTTGCCTGGAACCAATGGTGTATTGGCTAGTCACTCAAGTAAATTTGTCTGACATGTGCAGATCTAAAATGTGTCTAGTTGATACAAGAATATTTTTAATAAGAAGAAAATAAAGAAAAATCTTTGGATCTAGAAAAGATCATTGCTTTTTTATTCATCACCAATCAGCATATATTATTTCATATAATTCTCTAATTGCCCATGAGGTAAGTATTCACAGGTAAGAAATTGAGGCTGAGACACTAAGTAGCCTGCTCAAGGTCTGACAGCAAGTAGGAAAACCCAGATTTTACCCCATTATCTGTCTGATTTTGAGGTGCATATTCTAAACACTAGTATATCCCCAGTTCCCTGCATTACTTGACTTACTGACCATCACTCATTTTTATCCCAACCATTTTTCCTCTCTCAGTTGTAAGTTACATGTCAGTCCCAATCAGCAGTAAACAAAGATATAGAAATGAAGGTAAAGTTCCATTTGTATAGGATTTATACACAACAGGAGTGTTTGACTTAATGCAAGTTAAGGCCTCTGGTCTACTCGTGACGGGAGAGAGCAAGCCTCTCTTCTGAGGTTGAAGGTCTCCTAGAATCTCTGGTGGTTGGTGGCAAGACTATTTTCCATGGAACAGTTTTCAGCCTCAGACTTCATCTTTCTGTGACCAAAGATATTTCCACTCTGGTTTGTTAAACCTACTCAGTCAAAGTTAAATCAATGTTATATGACCTGCTGAGTGAACAAACACTTTTCTCCCCTTTTGTTTCTTTAACCCTGAGGCTTATTTGGGAAGCTAACACCATTTTTCTTTGAGATTTCCAAAAGGCACACTGGAAAGTACCTCAAATGTCTCATGCTTAATAAATTCTTCATGGGGGTGGGGAAGTGGAAGCAAGAGTAGTCACATTCCTATCCTGGTTGTATTAAATTAGAATTGTTCTTGAATAATTTGAGCATTGATAATTCTAGAAATTTTTCAACAGTAGAAAATATAAGCAAGATTCACATCATCTTCAGAGGCAACATGTTTTCTTCCATGAACTGTCAGGAAATACAAAGCATTTTGTAGTTTAATATGTAAAACTGTAGAGCGGTTGTTTCATTTTTTGAATACAATGACTATAATGCCATTGTGTATGTAATTTGCAAATTGCCTAATACCATTTTCTCCTTTCTCATAGCATGAGGTATTTTTAATGTATTGATATATATGAAAACACATTCCATTTTAAGAATTAATACAGAAAGAGGCCTAACTTGCAGAAGTTCTGGATGAACTTCCAGATGGATTCCTCTGGGGGTTAGGAGAGGCTCTTCGTCAATGGCAAGATAATCTTTTTCTCAATTATTTGATTGCCATTCAAGCCTTTCGGGGAGAAAATGAGCACCACACGTGGCGTGTAGTTCTTGCACACAGAGGTTAAGACTGAACTACTACCTGCTGGTCCCTTCACCAGCGTTACAACCCGTTCCAGGCAAGATAGGCAGGCCATTGGCCAAGCCCCAAAGCCACCAAACCCAGACACCTGAAGCTGGCGCTGTGCCAGAGAGCGCGCAACGCCTGCGGCTGGAGGGAAAGGAAGCGGATGAAACCCTAGATGCGCAGCGAGGGTGTTCTCGTCTTAGGAGGGTGGCCCGTCTGCTCAGCTCTTGCGAAGGTCGCTGATGCCCAGCGAAGGACATTCCCACACGTGCACGCACGCAGAGTAACCCGCGCACACTCACACACCCCAGTTTCAGAAGGCACATTATATGGCAACCTCCTTGTCCCATGACTCCCCTATTTGGGGGGCACATTCAGCAAAACAGACCAGTGCTTCCTCTCTTTACTAATCTGCCAAGTTTCCAAACCTGAGACTGGGTGACTCTTGCCTAGGCTCACGGATCGAGCCTTCCCAGTGTTGCAGTGAGACCCTAAGGTAGCCCTGGCGTGCCCAAGAGATGCGCAAGCATCTCGTGCCTTCCAAGCTCCCAGCGAGGACAAATGGGGTCCAAATTCTAGTAGAATCTGCGGGTTGCGGGAAGATGGACTCTAGGGCTGCCCGCGAGTGCGGTGGGGGACAATACCTTAGGGCCCCGTGAGCCCTCGCTTTCCCGGGGCACTCTCACCATTTGTAGCCTCTGCCGCGCTTGAACCTGAGGGTGAGCGCAGTCTCCAGGAAGAGCAAGAGGTTGAGCAGCGCGAGCAGCCAGTACCACGACTCCTTCTTCACCTCGGTCACTCGCCAGACCCCGACCAGCGAGTGCAGCACGAACAGCAGCCGAGTGGCCAGGGCGTTGAGGAAGACCAGCCCCTCCATGCTGGCCCGCGCACTCTGCCTACGGCCCCTTGCCTGCGCCCCCAGGACCCTGCCGGGCGCGCCCGGAGCCCACCCGTGGGCAGGAATATGACAAGCACTGAGACCTGCTGCTGCTTGTGGTCCCTTCTCACCCTCAGCGCCCGACGCCGGTAGAGCTGGTGCGCAGCTCGCCCCTCCCCCAAACTTCCTGAGAACTCTTCAAAGAGGGGCGAATCCAAACCCAGCTTTTCCAGACGGCTGGGCTTTCCAGGGAGTGTGTAGCTGCGCTGCCCTGGCTCCTGGGCGTTATTCTCCAGCGCTGCCCACCCGCCTCCCAATCTCGGGGCCAGTCTCCATCCCTGTCCTCTATCCCCGCCCCCGGGCCTCCGTGAGGTCCCCAAGAACTTCCCCATCACGAGGGGGCGGAAAGAGAAGCGAGGAGGACTGAAGGTCAAGGTGCAGCACAGCCAGAAAGGCGGAGGAGGAGCGCATCTCTGGCAGCTCCTCCTTACTTTTCCTCCTTACTTAATTCACTCCCACGTTTCACGCTGTCATGGTGACCCGAAGCCGGGACGCAGGAGGGCCAAAGAATCCAAGCAGTTTTAGAAACCCGGTTACTGCCCTGCTTGGAGAATTAAAACTTCCTAGGATCAGAGGCAGTCGGACCCTCCGGGCTTTCTGCGAGCTTAGCACACCTCCCTGGGCCAGTGGGTAGCCCTGGTCACTTTTACTCCTTGAAGATTCCTTATTGTGCCATCCCCCACCACACCACACCCCTGTTTTGTTTTGTTTTCTGTTTTGTTTTTCCTGAAAAAATATAGGGGTAGCAAGATAAGACTGTAGAGGGGAAAGTGGAGGAGGAGACTACGGATGATAAAGCCAGGAATGCGATTAGAAGGTAAAATGCATGCACTCCCAAATTCAAGGACCTGTGCTCTTGAGATCAACGACCATGAATTAAACTCTCCTCCTTCCAGCATCCAACACAAGAAATGAAGTCAGGGTTTTCCAAAACACCTTCGTCGTTTTTGTTTCCTTGTTTGGTGTCCTACCACCTGTACTACTATTGACTTAACATTTTTCTTTAAATGTCCTCAAATTTTTACTCAAATAAATTTATTTTAAAAAGAAACGTATCACTTGTAAATGGAAAGCCTGTAGAATTGTCTATAGTTGGAAGGTAATTACAAAAATAGCTAAAATATAATAAACTAGTTATTGAAATCTCTCTAGATATTAATTAGTGCCTTCCAAAGTTTTGTGCCTCAAACTCCCTCTTTCTTTGTTATAAAGGAAGATATAGAATTAATTTGTCATATTACTATAATACCAACCAAGCAGGAATGCTCCCTTGACCACATTAGTAACATTGAAAGAAAAGTGCATAGGGACTATCTTTCTGATTAGGTATAGTCAAGTTAAAATCATGTCATACTTTTCTTAAAATCAAGTTGAAAAACTGCGAGTTAGATGATTAATGCCTCCATTAGGTGAGAAATCTCTGATTGCTCACAAGAAGCTTAGAAGTGATTTCCGATACTGAGATCTGAGAGAATTTTTGTTTCCTCCTGTGGGTCAGCATTCTCCCACATCTTACAGGAAACCCAGCAGTGATTTACCGGTGCTGTTTAGTCTAGTTTCTAGTGTCCTTCAATGTTGGCTGATGACACAGTGACCACAGGCTATTCAGTGAAGTGGAAAAGCATAGTGTGGCAGATGAATGCCATGGAAGGAAGCAGTGTGCTGTGGTGGTTAGAGCCCTGTATCCACCAACCAGCTGACTTAGACTACTCACTAAGTCACTTAGTTGTATTGTGCCTTTTGTCCTTCTGTAAATTTGGTACTAAATCTATCTACTCACAGGATCTTTGTGGGGATCAAATGAGTTAATCCATATGAAGTGCCTGGCACGTGGTAAATGCTTGGTAGACATCAGCGATTATTGGGAGGACCAAGAAAGTTATGCCAGGGGAGTTGATCTTTGATGATCTGAGACAAGTAATAACAGGATTGGAGTGGAGGTACATGACATTCCTGTCGAAAAACCCCAGATGAACACGTCTGGAACTGAACTGAACAAGTTGAGTTTATTACTTTTTTAGTGAGGGGGCACACTCCATGGGCCACTGTGGAGCATCTCAGTATGAAAGTGTTAGAAAGGTTAAAAAGCATTGGAGATAACATTAGACATGATTTGGGCTTGACCTATGTGATTTTGGGGCTTAGGGAAGTGAGGCTTTACTCTAGATGGAATGCTATTAGGAAGTGGGGTTAATTTTATGTTGGGCGTGTTGATAAATCTAATATAGAAAGGGACGTTTGTGGTTTGTACAATATTCCTGTTCAGATGTAATTTTGGAGAGGTCCTATTTGATCCACCATGATCTCAGAGTGGCCTTACCTGATGTTGTGTAAAACTTGTATGTTCAAGAGGAGGATGCCAATGCCTGGCTAAAGGTGCCAGACCACTTGCTTGCAGTCAGGGGTTGTTTCTCTCTTTCTTTCTTTCTTTCTTTTTTTTTTTTTTTTTTTTTTTTGAGACGGAGGAGTCCTGCTCTGTCACACAGATTGGAGTACAAGGGCGCGCTCTCAGCTCACTGCAGCCTCCGCCTCCCAAGTTCAAGCGATTTTGTGCCTCAGGCTCCTGACATTACAGGAGCATGCCCCACTAATTTTTATATTCTTAATAGAGATGGGGTTTCACCATGTTGATCAGGCTGGTCTTGAACTCCTGACTGCAAGTGATCTATCCACCTCTGCCTCCCAAAATGCTGGGATTACAGGCGTGAGCCACCGCATCGGGCAACTTCTCTCTTTGTCAAGCCTACTAGGAAGGACTCTCTAGGAGAGCTTTAAAAAAGGGAAGGCAGTCAGTCTGACATCTTCCAATCATTTGTTGTTCCCTATTTTGAAAGTTCAGAAACAAATTAGGTTCTATTGTCTCTGGATCTGATAAACAAAATTGTCATTAAAGAGAATTAAAGGTTATTTCTTCTTAATTTTCTCCTAAGTCCATTTTAAAGATTGGAAGCTTTCAGAAGTATCTTAAAACTGTCAGGCAAATAGCCCAATAATCTTTAAACAAAAAGAAAAAAATAAGCAATTTTAAAAATTTACTCTTCTTGAAAAAAAGCAATCTCAGTTGCATGCACCCAAGTCTTGTAGTAGAGGCTGAGGTTGCACTAAAATGTAGCCTGCTTGTTCCACTATCCCAGGAAGCAGCTAACAACTTCCCTTCTGAATGCAAACTGAACATAATTATCAGGATTTTCTTTCAATTTGGGTGATTCTGGCTACAAGGAAGAGACTTTCTCAATTCGCTCATGTAAAAGGAGTAGTTATTGGAAGGGAATGCGTGGTCTAAAAATGGAGATGGACTCTCTTGACTGAAGAATAGGAGGTAGATGAAGACAGGGCTTTGGGAACTGGGAGCCGGAGGACAGCTGTGGACTTGGGTGGCAGCAAGGATCTCAAGGTTGCAGTTTCCAGACCTTTGCACAGCAACTCTCTGACACTGTTGTCTTCCAGCCAGATTTCTCCACGCTGAATTCAAATTGCTGAGATAAGGAATTCAACTGACTTCCTTCAACTCTAAGTACCAGGGTCACACTATGGACCGCAGAGCAGGCTACTGACTGAAATCCAGTCATTGACTATCCCTATGCAAATACCAGTTTAGTGTTTTTTTGTTCATCCTTCAACGTAAGATTCTGGGCAGCAGAGTTTAAGCAGGGGAGGAATGGGCATGGCAGGTACACTGAAACGTGGAGTACCATGCAGCTGTGGGACGACATGCCACATCCTACACCTATGATGCCAAAGATGCCCCTCCCTAATATTATTGAAACATTGTGCATGCAATTATGCACGCAGCTATGGTCTCGAAGCAGGGATGCAATACAAAGTCACATCTGCATCCAGAGGCCACCAAAGCTGCAGAATGTTCACAGAAGCTGCAGTCTCCTGGCAATCTTCATTCCTCCCTTGGCTCCATTTAATCCTATTCAGACATCACTTGTATACATAAATGTGTGTGTGTGTGTGTGTATGTGTGTGTGTAATACAATGCATGAAAAAAAAATCATACACTACAGGAAGATGTATCTATTCCCCAGAGGAACCACTCACAATTACCATTTTCAATTTTTTTTTCTGATAGTTACAATTATATCTTTAAAATTACACTTTATAGTCCTCTATTTCCTGATTTACCAATTTACAGAACTTGATTTTTCAGTTCAAGATTTGGGGAATCCATTACTCCTGCAATACCTTCTTCCTTCCTCATTCCACCTGTACTACCCAAATTTGTTTAAATTGTTGTCTGTAACATTCTATTCTCCAGCTATAATTAAAACTGCATACTGTGTCTTCTCAACTGGTTTATTCCAAAAATTGAAAATCAACAAACAATATTTAAAATATATAATACAATATATAATTATTACTCAATATATTTTCACATATTTTCAGAGTCCATTATTTTCTAGAATGCAATGTTACTGATAAGAAGTATGTTTTGTGTCTCATTGTCTTCTTCATGTAGATAAGTACTTTTTTAACCTCCAGAAATTTTTAGAATTTTGTTTTACCTTGGAATGTTTATCATTTGACTGCATCTAGATATTGGACATTTCTTTCATATACCCTGCTCAACACAGTAGTCTTGTGTCTTTCGGTAGAGAGTCAAGTCTTCTTTTATTATGTCTTTGATCTTTTTTTTTCTCCTTCATTGTTTCTGTTTTCTCCTTAAGGAATACCTTATATTTTTCATCTTTGTCTTTTTCATCCATGTTCTTGTAGTTTCTTACCTTTATCTTCTATATGTTTAAGTTAGTCTTTGGATTATTTAATTTTATTGTTGACTTCTATAAGTCATTTTTTTGTTGTTGGTCAACTTATTTTGTAATAAGCCTTACTCATTAATGAGATTTATTTTTACAGCAGTTTATTCTTGTCTGGTGGATGCAATACCTTTTTGTCTTCCTGAATTATTTCTGTTTTTACTTGGTTGGTTGCTCAGTTCCATCCTTTACATCCAGGGTTTTGTAACATGACGGTTCTCAAATACTCTGATGATCTTTTGTTGTTCATTTATTTTTACAAACCGAGGACTGGGCTGGTTATAGGACATATTTGAAATAGGTGTATGAGTTGCTGTTTATCTATTAAATGGAAGAGCTGGCTGTGGTCCTGCACACTTGGGCAAGAAACACTTGCCAGGTCAGTTTCCCTAACAGGTGCAATGAAGAGGAGCAGGCAGGGGTATCAAGGCAAGGAAGGTTTCCCTGAGAGCTGGTTCTTAGTGCATCTTATTCAGTCCTTGGTAGAGCTGCCTTGATGTCTCTCTTCTACTCCATGCCCTAGTTCTGGCTGCTGTGAAGATCCATATCTACCCATAACAATGCTCCCATTCTACCCACGCCC